CCTGGCTCATTGGGTATCTTTGATGTGTGTCAACGTGCGAGGGAGGAAGAGAAGACGTCTGCAGTACTAAGCAGTACCCTGCACGAGTACCGTCTCTCTTCGTTTCGTTGCCCTGCTCCGCCGCTCTGCTCGATTTCTTCCTTCTTCACCCTTTATTCGTCTGAAAAACGAAATGACGAATCGGGTCGTTCGATCCGAGATCCGAAGAGGAAATTTTGCGATCTCGGGTGAGCCGGGGAAGAGAGAAAAAAAAAGCGAGAGTCATCCGGTGTCGCCTGTGGTCATGATTCGCGATTGCCTCTCGATGTCTCCGTTCTTCGATACTCATGTCGCACAACACTCGTTTTAAGTATTCTAATCGGGCCGATCATTAGGAGATGACTCAGGCGGTGACGCAATCGCGGGGGGAATTTCGAATTCCGCGACATGGAGGTGTTAGAATTTCTAGGATCCGTGACGTTTTTGCCTCCCTGATAACATTTCGAGTCGCAGAGGATTTTTTTTTTTTTCGAAGACGTGGGAGGGAGAGGAGAGGGAGGGAGAGGAGAGGGAGGGAGACGAGAGGGAGGGAGACGACGGGATGGATCCTTGATGTTGCCCCGGAAATCCCGCCTCCGTATCCCAATTATCCCGGATAAACGGCAGGATCTCGCATCCTCCGCGACTTCTTCGCGATCATCGAAGATTCAAAGAATCGTTTCGTCATCGCGAAAACTCCCGAAAAAGATGGCGAATTCTGCGCTGCTAATTGAATTTTCCCAGAAAATTACTCGCGAGGAACATTTTCACCGTTGCCTCGTGTTCCCCTGAATATCAGGACGCGATTTAAGGGATCGGCTAACGGCTGTCTTTCGAAGGCTAACGTTACGTAACGGAACGACAATTTCCTCGTAGCGAGAGGAATTTCTCGTACAGTTTGGAAAGTAATCAAACAAATGGAACGGAAATGATCGAAAACGTTACAACAATCTTGCTCATCAAGCCATAATGTAAATAGTTAAAAAAAAAATGCTATTCACAGTTGATACAGTTTCGAGATCTCGATTATCGATGGATTTCACCGAGAGCATGCGTAAAGGTCACAAAGGGCACCAAGACCGTTTCGAATTTATTCCTTCAGCCTCGAGGATTGAAAGCTTCGCACCTTTACCAATGTATTTATAAAAATGCTAAGTCCCTGTCAAATAAAAAAAAAACAAACATTCATGATATTTTGGTGGAATATTTATGCCGTAAGAGCCGAGCAGGAAAAAAAAGTATAGTTTATTTAAATATCATTTCCATAGAGAAAGGAAATCTGAATTGCTGAACGATGAGATACGAAAAGTAGGAGAGCCCTGTGAGTTTTTCCTCCTCTCGATGCCTCATTTTAATGCGTCTCGTCGTTATTTTGAGGGCAGTAACGAAAGCGAAGCCGAAGAGAGTAATTACCCATCCCAAAGATGGAAGAGGAGAGAAGTTTCCCCTTTCCCCCATTTTTTTTTTCGTCCACATTCCCCGAGAAACGCGGAGGCTCTGAAGGCCATCAAGGCCTCCCCGGCACGCACCACCGATGGCTGACGGCCTCGCGCGCCGTTCCGAAGTCTCAAAGTTGATCGCGATCGCGAAAGCGACTGTGAGATTTGGCGCGATTCGTCGCCTCGGACGTCGCAGATCGCATCCCTGCGAGTCATCCCTGCGAGACATCCTTCATTTCTCTTTCGGTCCATTCGTATTGGTATCGTGCAGTCTCACGTACTCCATTCCCTTCGAGGGAATTTGGATGTTCCATCCCTTCCATTCTCAGCTAATCAACTTTTTTTCCCGCACATTTTTTTTTTAATTCAGCAGTTTTTCTTCAGTTTTTTTTTTCTCCTTTAGGTCAGTATAAATGCATAAACGGCCGAGGCGGATCGAAAAACTTTAACCTCCGCTTAAGGTGGATTTCCGAAGCTCGGACCACCCGATAATCCTTTATTTACCGTATTTACGATGGATTTTTCTCCAAAATAAAAACAAAAAGCTGGATGATTCTCCATCCAGCCTTGATCTTGGGATCTTCTTTCCCGTTCGTCGGTCCGTTTCCCTCGCGTATAGTTTTGAATATATGTATCATAATGCGTCCCCGGCGAGAAGTTTCCTTCCGTTGTTTTCGGATTTTCTTTCTTCCATTATGGATTCAATTGCTCGTTTATTAGCATTTCCTCGTTAACATCCTGTTTTGAGCGGTCGCTTAATGCGCGGGAGGGCGAACGATTAAATTTGCTTGCGAATGACGCAATAGGGGAGGGTGGCAACGTCGGTGGAGCGTGGCAACGTCGGAACTCGAGGAAAATAAGTTGGCATTCGGGATTTCGGGAAGGGCGAGGCTCATTTTAAGAGGGAAAAAATGAGGAAAATGAGCGATCATCTGGACGGAGGAACGTAAGAAAAGGATTCTACTTCCAACTTCTTCCAAGGTCATTCGAGAGGAGGTGAATTCCTGGACGCGAAAAAGCCAAAGTGCCAAAAGCAAAAGCTGCCAAAAGTGAGTCAGACTCCGCCGTCTGAGTTTCCTTCCGCGAAATCCCCGCGAATTTCCGCGGAAATCGACTCGCGTCGCTGTGAACCTGTTGCGCCGCTTCGAAAACCGTCCGGAAGAGGTGCCAGGATCACGTGTGACGAGGATCACATGTGACGAGGACCGACTCGGTGACGTCACCTCGATTCTCACCGATTAACGATGGAACGAGTTTAACCCAAGCAAAACGGTTTTTAAGGTAAGCAAAAAAAAAAGAGAAGAAAGTGCGACGAGAATGAGTTTCGAAAGGCAATTTCAGTTGAGAAGAGGTTTTTCCCTTCCACCCAATTTCCTCGGAGAAGTGAATCGATCGGACGGCATTTGATTAAAATTATTCGACGGGAAAACCATCGCGATTCGCGATTACACGAGGCCAGCAAAAAAAAAAAGGGAAAAAATTTTCGGCGCGGCGAAGTTTTTTTTTTGTCGCTGCGTGTTTTTCGTGCTTTTGCGAAAGATGTGACTCATCGGGAAATTCTTCGGCGTAGAAAATGATTTGGCTTTTTTTTTGTGGTCCGTGATGCACGGGTCATGAAACTTGATGAATTTTATTCATCGAAAAAAAAACCCTAGGCTTCGATTGCCGTTGGATGAGTGAAAAAAAAAAATGTCCGGTGGATCCCAGGGATCCATAAGAAGTGAAGAGACGAGCCAAAGCCGAGGCGGAAGAGGATCCGAGGTGGAAGGGTTGAGATCCCGTCACGGTCCTATTTTTTCTCCGTGACATCTGCCTTGGTACTGTTCGTTATCGTGACGTGAAACATGCCGAGTGATGGAGAAGTCGCGCGACCCGAAAGAAACCTTGCCACGAGCAAACGCGAAAGCAAGATTCCCCAGGAACGGAATTCTCCAGTACGATTCGAATTCGAAGGCCGAATGGTCGCAGCAGATGCCGAAAGTGATTCGTCCTCGAAGGCATGCATTTACGTGACGTTCCATATTATTAGAAGCACGTCGTAACGTAACGGAATCTCGGTCTCGACCGCGACGGTAACGCGTGACCTGCAGCATGCAGCGTGGGAATCGCCACGGCGAATGCGATTCCGAGCGACTTCCATCCGTGCGATGGCTGACATCTGCGATAGACGCTTTTTAATTTTCACGGCTGCGGAGCGACGGGTTGCCGGGACTTTTCTTTCGGCGTCGGCAACATTTCTTCTGGGTCGCGTGGCTTCGAGATCAGCTGTTGCTCGTGGCTCTCGTTAGCACCAAAACTCGTTTTCGTCCGAAGAGAACTCGAAACGAAGCACTTTTGCCACGGAGACCGAATGGATGAGTACCACTTTTTTTTTTTTTTCCTTTTCGCCGCTTGTCATCCCGGTTTGCGTAATTATAACGGGTCCTCCAAAGTCCCTTGTGCGAGCAACAATCACGGTCGGTCTCGTGTATCATAAGCCACTCCTACGGCAGGAGACATACCCCCTACAGGAAATGGCTTACAGCCAAAGCCAGGGAAAAAGCCACTTCTCAGATTTCGAAACCATACGGACTTTCCATCTGGATTGTTGCAGGGCCGTTATTTGCACCACGCTCCAGGAATATTTGCGCTTACGGCTTCGCTAACACCGTCCAAGGTCGCACCGTCCGAGTTTGCATCGACCTAGATCCCCCTTTTTTTCCATCGAAAATGAGCTCGCCGAAAGTCAACTTTTCACTGTCGGAAACTTTTTTTCCTTGCACGGTCACGATCATCACGAAGCCTCGGGTTAAACGGAGTCCGCGGAACGTGCCCCTTCATCCCGATCCACGATGATGCTCTTCATCACAAGTTGAGACCGAGCAGGAACACGAAATGCACGGAACATCGGAGAAGAAAGAAAGGAGAAAGATTGGAGTGTCTCTTCGTCCCGATGCGACGGGGGACCCCCCCTTTCCTCTTCATTCATTGCTCTCTTCTGTCTCTTTCCTATGTATATTTCATGTCCTATCTCGTCGTAGACTTGGAAGAGGTGGATCCCAACGCGGTTACGTCTCTGCCTCCATAATGCAGGAAAGGAAAAAAAAAAAGCACACAATCGGGGTGCATTGAGGCCGAAAGAGCAGTGAAACATGACTTCGACCCAGTTATATTCACTGTCTGACGTTTCTATGCGATCGGGGAACTCCAGTTCACGCTGGAGTGAATCAAATTGACGGAAACGGGCAAGGAAACTCACTTCCCTTCATCTCTTATCATGATATGGTATAGGCTCCATGTATCACTTGTCTCTTTGCATTTTCCATCCGGCTTGTTTTCAGCCTGATGAGGCTTTCCCTTCATCTCTCTTCGGCGAATATATCAGTTCAGCTCCGTTAGTTTGACTGAAAACACAAGCTTTTCCCGGAAGTTTCTCATTTATTGGAATCGTTCCTAGACAGGAGAGGTCAAGAACTGGTCTCCCAGAGCAAAAAAAAGGCAAAACAAAAAGCACACATGAATATTTACCATCATATTGATTATAATAATATAATAATAATGATAATGGACCGTATGATGGATAATCGACCCAGCACCAAAGAGGGACTGATTCAGGGGCTGTACAGGGTAGAACGAGACAGGCAAAGGAAGAATATGGGTGCATAGCCAATACTGTGCATGGTTGGAATCGTCTTGGCGAAGTAGGAAGGCAAGTTTTCATGGAACCGGCAAAAACGTGTCGGATTTTATCACAGCGGGAAAAAAGAGTTAATTCTTTTCTTCCCTCTTTCATAGTCATCCGACAGTTGCTTCTCTTTCTCTTTTCGTCCTCCATCCAAGACTGCACCCAGGGGGGGAAAAGAGGTCAGAGACACACGCTCTAAATCTACGGATATCACAGACAGTCTGTTGAACGAGGACAGGATCTTACACGGACGAGAGACAAACCACATGATCATGAACAGGGGGGGTTCCTTCTCCGCCCCTTAAAAAAAAAGGAACAAAAAAAAGGATTCATGAAAAAAGAACGCGCATGGTTTCCCTTTTTCCTTCTTGTCTCGTCTTCACTCACTTGCTTTGAGTGGCTTCATTTTGTGTCCTTGAGAGGGAATCTTGCTCTTGGAAGTGAGTCTTGCTACGTTTCCAGGGAGGCGAGAAGGCTTTGGAACACGGCTGATTGGAGTTCACTGAAAGGTGTCACACTTTGGCTGCAGGAATTGAAGGCTTTCGAGGGTTCGAACCATCTTGTCGGCACACCCTGTTCTTCCTCGTTCGACGAGGTCCCTGGCGATGACGAGGACGTCTCTGTCTCTGTCGAGAGAGACGATTCTTGGTCGAGACGAGCCCGTTTCGTCGTCGTCTCGGACTCGTCTTCGTCCTGATGAGGTCGCGGTGATAGCGGGGCATAGCCCGAGGGAGTCATGATTCCCACCCGCCCACTATACGCGTAGCATGCCGGCTCCCTTTTTTGCAGGGACTTGAACGTATTGTTGATGAGGACCGACCGTCGTAGGAAGGCTTCCGGGTCCTCGATGGCTCGCAATTTGGCCATCGTCACCCGATAAACGGCTCGTCGCTCTTCCCGCAGTCGATACCGATTCGAGGTCCAGAGCATAGAGGGCCTTCGCGCTGGTAACAGCTTCAAGGGTGGAGACTTCATAATACCTCCTTGTCCTCCCTTCCTTTTCTGCGCTCCATCTGTAACAGATGATAAAAACATCAGGAGGGAATCACCAATAATCATCGCTTCGACTAGTTAAACCGGCATAACCAGTCTCGCGTGTTTTATGGCGCCATGTATAACATCGAAGCTAGCATGTAAAAACCGAGCAGCTGGCGTAACGTGTATTGTGGATGGCTTCCGATTTGGGCAGGTGTCGGTGTCACGTCATATCAAACAAGGGGGGGAGGAAAAGGGAAGGAAGGAAGAGAACAGGAATGAAACAGGGCCTTCCACGCGCATGGGCGATTGTTGACGAGCTGGTATGCTGGGCAAAGGGCCAATGAAAACGCCACTAGGCCATTCATCCATAAGGACCAAGGTCCCATACTAATCTGCCTTCTCCTCGCCTTTAAGCCATTAGGCAATCTGTATGGGTGAGATGTGTGTATATATGTGTGTGTTACGTGTCGGCCAAAACTTCCCCCCCTCTTTCTCCCCCCGAAAGACACTCTCTTTCTCACAATAATATATGAATCAGCATAAATGAGATTCCCCGTCGCATCGGGGACAGAAAATCGATCGGGAAGGATGATGGAAAGCCGACTCGACTCTTCTGCTTTCTAATCAGTCTCTCGCCATGGATCCCGAGATATTCCCGGCTCCGTGTAATTGGAGGCAGAAACTCCTTTCGATAGTGTTTGTTCTCAGGTGTGAGAAGCGCAGATGATGAGGGTCTTTGTATAAGGAGTCACTGTCTCGCATGAGGGACCTTCTACGGACACGGGCCACTACTTTTCTATTGACGGGGGAATTTTCTAATCACGGCTGCTGACCTCTTCGGTTTCCCCATCCCCCCTCAACACTGTCAATATGGAACGGAGGGGAGAGGGAGGGAAAAAAAGAGGAGGAGGTGCGGAATCGGGAAGGAGCTAATGGAAGCGTGGGACTGGAGCCTTGCCAATTCAATGGCACCCTTGTGTGCGAGGATACTGAGATGAACGAACCTAGAAATGAGATATGCCAACAGATGAGATGCCCCTCGTGCCCACCACGGTTCGTCACACTTATTGATGCTTCTGGTGGTGGAATGACGATGACGATAATGGGAATATTAGAGAAGAAAGGGGTGATGTTTTATTAAGCCTTGTGTATGAATAGAGTGTCAGGAATTCCGGCGATGAACGGCAGGGGAACAAAGGAGCCGAGCGCCGAAAACATGTTCCAGTTCCCTCACTTCCCTATTATTCTGCCAAGGACCGTAACCAGACGAGTCCCTTTAATTCCATTTCGGCCTCTCTTGGGAGATTCGAGATCCGAGTGTGAGGAAAGAACAATTCAAGTTCCATCTAGGAAATGAGAAAGGGAGAAGATCGATATGTATTCCTGATGTGTGTTTTAAAAGGTTGTCCGACCTTGTCTCCCTCGGCGAGCTCGCGAGCCGCAGGGTTGCCAGATTTCATGCTCTATCGCCCTTCTCCCGATCAACCCCCCCTCGTCATCCCGTTCGCATTCTCTTTTTCCTCTTCCGTGTTTTCCCTTATCTGACGCAAGGCTCGTTTAAGAAGGGCTTCCATTCCGTGCGTCTTTTGCAGCCTCAGGTCCGGTTTAAGGACTAAAGAAGGGAAAAATGGGTGGCAGGTGATGTAATTGAAGATTTCTCCTTTTGTTCCCCTTCCCTCGTTGGAATGGCACGTTCCTCTTCATCGAAGGGCAGCCAGAGGGGGAGAGGCCACCTGTCAGGGTTGATAACATCACCTGCCTATCCCCACTCCCTCGAATGAGCTCCATGGATTTCCAAGATACATGCCAGGCTGAAATCTTGAGGGCAAAAGCCAAAACCAAAATGGAAGCGAGTCTCTTTCTACTACTCATCGGAAGAGTGGCGATGTAGGGCGCGCGAGTTGCTGCCGCCTTCTTCACTTGCCTGTTGCCTCAGGCCAATTTTCCACTATCCAGTCCTTTCCTCTGTCCGCAAGAAAAAGAAAGAAGGAACTTTTCTTTCTAGGCGACACACTAAACCTCGACTTCTCCTCCACATTCCATCTGGCCAGGAATTGAGAAAACAAAAAAAAGGCCTTCTGCCTTTCCACGTGCCGAGAAGCAAGAATCCACGACATCTCACACACTTGTTGAGGAGGCCACTTTCCCATTGCGTACCGAAGGGGGGAGAAGAGAGAGCCAGCCTTGATAAAAGGAAGGAGACGAGAAGAAAAGAAGGAGCATGACTTGCAGGGAAATGCAGGGGCCAAGCCACGCTTCCTTCCCTTACGCATGGCTTCCTTTCCTAAGGTCTTTCTCATGGCCCTTACAACTACCCTCTATGATCAAATCAATCCCGTTTCAAAATAGAGAACGGGTTAAAAGTCGGGCGGAAGTAAAAATCTGCTTCACTGAAATGAGGTCTCTCATCCTCCTTATCAGCTGGGGGATTACTTTGCCTCTGGAATAGCGCAGCCGTCTACAATGAAGTATGGAGGGGAGGGGAGGAAATGTGGACACGGGCATGGGGGGATGCCATGAAAGACATCGTGATAATTCATCCATTCTTTCTCATCCCCATGAATCCATGAGAAGAGGGCAAGCGGAGGCTTTTTTGTTTTCCATGAAGCAAGGAACAACGCGGAGAGGAAGAAAGAGGGGGGAAATGCGAGTGACGTCACAACGGAGTTCAATGAATGCGTGTGAGACGACGAAGACGACGACAACGAGCCGTTTCTTCAGGTTCGCCGCGCTCCCTAATTGCCATTCATAGCTCAGAGAGAAAAGCGGAACTGGGAAAGAGCGAGACAGAGAAAAAAAATGCTAAGGAAGCGGGGCGAGTATAACGTGTATTTTATGCAGCGAGTATTATACAGTATGTATCGGCGGGAAGGGACTCCGACCGTCCCCTTTGAAATCGGTCGTGCGCAGCCGATATTATAACGGGGGGGGGGGAACCGAAGGAGAAGTCGCAGAGGCAGCCGATATATGCCTGGTGCCTACGAGAGTGTCCTCCCTCCGTTTCATTCAATTATTGATCCCCCTCTTCTCCCCCTCGACCAGGGAGGGCTTAATGGACAGCGCAATTGCACGGAGGAGAAAGAGAAAGAAAGCAAGCATCCATTCTGGCATCACTGTTCTCAGCTAACGGCATCTTGAGAGCATGCCAAGCAAGCAGGCAAAGCAACGCGACCGCAGACTTTAGATATACGAGGGGCGAGAGAGAGAAAAAAGTGAAATAACAACGCTGGATTCGTTCGGACATGCGCCACGTATGAGGATTACGTCTCGAAAGAGGTATGAAAACTTCATAAGGCGTGGCTGAGGAGCAGAAAATATTTACGAAGCACAATAGGGTTGTCGGGGAAAAGCACCGTCGGTCTCGCATTATGACCTTCCTCACTCCCCTTCTCTCTCTCTTCTAATTTCCTCTCTCGCCACGTCTTTTTTTTCGCCACTGCTTCCTGCACGATTCCTTGCTCAGATGCAAATCGGGATTCCTTGGAATCCGATCTACCTCTCCGGTGGCATATCCTTTCATACAAGGGCCATTCGAGAGGGGATACACATAAAGATGAGAGGAAGGCGGCGAGAAACCCTCGGGCCATTATTCCAGCTGGAGCTGCGTGAAGATCGAGAAAAAAGAGAGAGAGACATGCAAGGGGGACCAATCACAAAGCATCATCCTTCCTTCTTTTCCTTCAGCTCTCTTCCAAAGCGTCGTCAAATGCATAGCGGGCATGACGTCACGAATTGTAAGCACGGCTATAAATGGCTTCAGACAGTGACTCTCCGACCCGGGGTATCTCTTACGAAATCCTTCCGATATTAGAGGGCGAGTAGATCCCCATTAGCAGATGAAGAAAGAAGGCAGGAAATGAGACCGATGCACTAATTGGAAGGATCTGGTGCATGAGTAGCGAGTGTTGTTTCCTTCCCCCAGCGTCGAGTCTGGGCATAATAGATCGGTGTCATTTTTAGGCCTCCCGTCCATTCACCCCCTCCCCATGCTTCGGTCAAAAGTAGCCAAACTGAAAAGGGGTGGCATGGCATTTGCCTTCCTCCCCTTCTCCCGCGTTCCCCTTCCGTCGGAAATGATGATGTTTCTAATCTTGTCTTTGTCTGCTCGTTGACGGGGAGTAAAGGAAAGATCGGGACCAGACCTAGGCCCCGAGAATATATAAACATCCTTGAAAAGACTCGAGCTTGGACACGGACACTTCCGTAAGAACGGATCCGAGCCACATGCCCCATAATGGCTTCCTTTCTCAGTCATACTCGTCCCCTATCAAGGTCGACCTGTACGCTACAAATGCATGAGGTACTCGTGGATATTGTTCCTGTCTTTCATGAGAGAGAAAGAGGGAGAGGACGAGGAATAGAAAGCGTTTGGAGTCTAGCGTGGCGAACCAGACACAGACATGCACACGCAATGCATGTCGGCTATGTTTCCCCCAAGATTCTCGGCGCTTTTCCATCCATTGCAATCTATCGATCGAACAAAGAGAAAGGAAGCAGAAGAGTCGAATTGCGGAAATCTTTGACGTCCAGGCAACAGCGCGAGATTAGAGAAGAATGGAAACGTCGGTGCTTCCACAAATATCACATTATCGTAATCTGAGGTCATGCCTCTATCAGCTCAGCATACCTACACCGTGACATTGACACTTCCTTCCCACACGGGCCTACCGAGAATATACAGGACTTAGCCCCAATACTCAGTTAGTATAGGCTACAGCATACAAACGGCCGACGTGAAACATCCACTCATTCAATGCTGATAAGGATAGCGGCCGCTTGCTTCATCGACCTACTTAATAACACCGTCCCAATTTTGCACGCGAATTCCTCCTCTGCAGTACGCGATACACAAGATTTGAAATAAAGAAATGACTTAATGTCGAGACTGACCTGTTGAAGGAGACTTCTTAGGCGGCTGTTTCCGGATCATCTGTCCCATCAATTTCTCCAGATCATCCTCCACGTGGTCCCAATCGTCGAGCTGAGTACGCTCAACACTGTCGAAATCCATGATCCCTTCGACGCCGGAAGGGACACCGGTGAGATAATTGTCCACTAGGGTCATGCTCGGGAGTCAATGGCGACACTTGACACAGCACGTCATGATCCGCAAGAGCACAATATTATATTGAGGAGGGTTCGGTGCGGTGAGGAAGGGAGGCTGGCAGCAGCTGACAACTCCGCGCATGAGTAGTAAGTAGCTCACCATGATAAAGTGAAAGCGAGTGGGCATGTGAACTGTGAATGTGTGTGAAGTGCACGTGAACTCCAGGTTTTGTCAGAAGAACCGGTGTACGTGTCCGTGTGTGTGTGTGTATGTTATGTATGGCCCCGGAGGGGTCTTTCCCTCGGACAAAGAGAATCAACCTTCATATATGATCCCTCCCTCTCATTCCCTTCCAGCCCCATAAAATCCCGCTCGTGAATACAACTCTCTCGGATGGATATGATGATAAAAGTAGGGGCCAGAGAAAGAAGACTACATGGACTTTGGAAAATCCATTGTCCTCTGAAAATGTGATCGACCTCGTGTCACTGACCCCATTCCCGGTCCGCTCAGGGATTCCACAGGGATTCACACATCTTTATCCAATTATTATCTCTCGTCTCCGGTATGTCACCTAATATCACCTGTTACCATCGGGATGATCCTCTGTATACATGAAAGGGATTTAAGTGCTGACCTTGCAAAGAGGAGAATGCCTTGCTTTCTCTCGGTTCTTTCTCCACGATGACGTTCGCAAGATGTCTAATAATTATGCCGATTCATTATGTAGGGTATCCGTCGAGAAGAAAAGCGCAAAAGCCCAGGGAGAGGAACAAAATCTCTCCTGGCCACATGGCCAGAATTTCTTGCGGTGCAATTCCCGTCATGTAGAATTGCGGACTGGTTTCCGTGCGAGTCGACAGAGCGTGATAAGGACGCATACCATCAGCAAAGAGTTGCCTGTCCCATCAGCTCCGCAAAGCAACAAGGTCTAATCATTTGCTACCCATCTGGAACAAAACGATTCACGGACTACATGGTGTACAAAAAGTTGATGTGCAGATGGTAAAAACAAATAGTCTGTACCTGCCAGCAATAAAAGCTGAAAATGGCCCCACGTGCCCTCAGACATGCAAGAACACGTTCATAGGACAAGTCAGTGGACAATTGAACGAGGACGAAATTACCAGCGGTTACTGCCAACAAGATGTTGCTATGACATACACCGTTAATGTTTCCATGGCGCTGCTGGATGATGTTTTCGGGGACAGAATAATAACGAAGGGCCTTCGGCTTCACCGGTCCCTAGATCTTACCCCCTCAGATTATTATCTGTGGGGAGCAATGAAAGGAGACGTCTACAGAAACAACCCCTGCAGACACACATAATCGAAGGATGCCATCAGAGAGTACATCAACAAAATGACAACCGATGTGTTGACGAGGGTCGTCAGAAACGAGATTCAACGTGTTCAAACATGTCGGTAGGCACGTGGGGGTCATTTCCAGCATTTGTCATAACTTGTAGGCATGTGCCTACAAGTTATAAGCATGTTTGTATCAGGGGCACAGTGGCTTTTTGGACACCCTGTAGAACTCGGTTGCAAGAAATCCAAGGCAGTGATCGCATCTCTTCCGGGAATCATACAGGAAAATGACATGAAATGGGATCGGCAGGTAAACTAGATGACGCAACTTCCAAGGAAAAGCTTCTACGCTCTGAAACTCTCGAAATTGGCAGGTGTCTCCAAAAACGCACCTTGAGGATGCGCAAGACTGCTCTTTCCGGCCTCGTCCGGAGCATGCCAATGTCGTACGGGTTCGAGCCTCACAGGGCATCATCACATGAGCCGGAGACGGCTAACCGAACCGCCGATCGTATCTGTCGCTAGCGGTCATGCACCTACAGAGACTGGGAGACTTTGGACGCCAGAAAAAACTGTCACTCTTCGCGTCATTGATGCCGGATAGCGGTGTGCCAAAGGCGAAGACGGAGCGGGACCGCGAAAGCATTATGCCTACGATCCTCCGTGAGAAGTAAACAAGTAGGCTGGTCGATTTCAACTTGATTTGGGTTCATTTTCCCACAGGCTAACCGCTCGACTAGTTGCCATCGGTCTTTGACCGTTCCATCTTTCCTTTTCTTATTAGGCATTCTCTTACATTATTTCCCATGCTATTTGGCGGTCAGAAACTGCACCTAAATTCCTCGGGGGAAAGCAAGGGTTGATGATGATGATGATGCTAATGATGACCTGCTAGCACTATCTTCACGTGTCATGATATCGTCTCATGACGTAAGCATTTCTGAGGACCCTGGGGAGTAAGTATTACTATGGGGGCTGGGAGAGCAGAGAAATGGGCTCGAACAACAAGGACTGTCACATCTCTCTGTTTTCAAAATTATTCATAACATTTCGTCTTTCGAGAGGTCCCCCGCTACTCAGAAGAAGACAATAGGAACAGAAAAAAATACGGTTCATCGTCTCGGTCGATTCCATTTGGTTGCCCTTGGCCTTTCTTCTCGGGAAGGAAAACAAAATTCTACGGGTGTAATGTGATATATTGTTATACGAACTGACCACGCGATCGCATGTGGGATATTCATTTGGTCTGAGTTTGTTTGTATTTCCTTGGGGTCTCGTCTGCTCTGGATCTGTAAGAGTTACTTTTCCTGAGAGAATGATTTTCCCCTTCTCTCGTTTTCCTCTTCGGATCACGCAGAGGAAGGAAAGTTGAAGAGCGTCATTATGGCGGTAAGGCAGGGGAACGGGCAACACCTTCCGAGTTTCGATCCTCGCAAGGCTGATTGCGCGATTTCCTCGATTCGCATGCGCTCTATCCAAGGACTGCCTGCATATCCCATCCCAATCTCAAGGACCTTCCTCTGCTCGTCTTCTCCAATGAGTGCTATTGCATCGTGCAGAAAGGACCCAAGAGACGAACTAAATTATCCGGGCCAACTTTCTCGAGCGTTCGCCGACAGCACCATGGACGATGAAGATATCCCTTACATACAATAGGAGGTACTTGATCGGGTTCCACTAAGCTGCTAACTTCCTCTCTCGCCTTCGCGGTCTCCGATCCTTCGGTCTCTTCCAAGAAGGGAGGGAGGAAAATGCAATGAAATGACTAGTGGAAAGGTCGATGCGAAAAAATACTGGAAAATAAGTCTGGGAAGTCCGTATCGTAAGCAGATTGATCTCTGGTGGGAACTGATTGCAAGCGATGGATCACTAATTTCCTTTATTGAAAAGCCTTGTAAGCGGAGGAAGGAGATCGAGAAACGTAGTGAGGAATGGAATGAGACGAAGAATGCATTTGGAATGAAAAGCAAAACAAGGGCAAGGGCAAAAGCTAGGTGGGTCGGGGGCGGGGGCGGGCATGACACCCACGTGGAAGCTGCTATGTGACGTCATCTGACGTCATTCTCGCCATATCCTATATATACCACCCGTTGACGATCGTTTTAGCAGTGGACGTCATCACTGCGAGTTTTCGACACTTCTCTCCTGTCTCTCCCTATTGATCCGATTAAAATAAATGGCTTCTCGGGGGCAGGCCTGGAGTCGAGACTCTCCGATTTATACGGTCGATACGCCTCCACTCTTCTCCCTCTTTCCCCCTCGATTCCAAAATCTCGAAAACCGGAGCCTGTCAGCGCAAATACAGGGTCTGTGTTCCTTGCAAACTCTGTGTCCCTAGATATGGTCTCTGCCGTGGGTTCGTTTCTACATCATCACTCGATTATGATGGATGGTTTCCGATCGTCTCTTCTTTAGACTCAACTGCATTGAACATCCTTTGATATGTCGAACCAATAGGAAGGCGTGAGTAAACAAGACACGCTCTGGCATGATTCCGTTTGCGTCAGCGGTGAAACACTCCTCCCGATATCTCCATTCTCATGACGTAGACGGAGAGGGCAGAGATGCCCCGAGACGATAGTCATCTCGCATTCCACGGCTCTCCCGGATTTCATCCACTTCCCTCTTTTCTAATACTTGCTCCTCTTTGTTAATCCTATGAATCAAGCGTCCTTCCAGGCAAGTGGGAAAGGCGAGAGTAATGGTGGGCGAAAAGGTGTAATGAAAGCAGCTGTGGGATTCCGGAGCGAGAAAAGAGAATGCATAGAGAAAGAGAAAGGGAAGAAAAGGGGAGGGTTGTGGCAGTGCCATACATCGATCGGAAGAGAGAGAGAGAAAGAGAGAGAGAGAGAGAGAGAACAAGTAGAGAGAAAATCAGAGGAAGAGGAAAATATGAGGGCCAAGCTCATTCCCTGCATTGATCGGGTCGTCAAAGCCCATGATGGCCTCACGCAACCTATATCCTCTTCACCATGTACACTTCCCCCTCCCCCCCTTCCCCCCTCGCTGCCAAATTCTTCCGCCTCTTCAACGACTACCGTCGACAAATCAGTCTCGGTTGCAATCGATGCTGCTCGAGCGTCTGCCTTCCTGGTTTACGGTCCGCCGCTCTGTGTCCTCTCTTATGAAAACGCCCTGGGGCCATTCTTCCGCCGTTGCATACATACAAACAGAGGGGAGCAAGGCAGGAAAAGAAAGCCACAAGTGATGATGATCGTGGATTGTGGAGTGGAGATGATGTGATGACAACGCTCATGACGATCCTTCCTCTTCCATGATCAAGCCTTCCCGATTTGCATAATGCTCAATACACTAGTTGCGCTGCGCGCGAGCGCAGAGCTCTCACTCCGTCCAATCCGTTTCCTGCTTAAAAAAATGTAAATGAGAAAGGGAGCAGCATCGCCTATCCAGCCCATCTGCTTACCCTCTTTTGAAGCTCTGCGATGCACTGATGCCTTCCCTCTCCTTCCTTTCTTTCATTCCTCGCTGGCAGTTCCCTGTTTTCAAGGTTCCCCGCCTCGCTCTCTCTCTACTTGGCATGGTTTCAGACGTGGCAGGAGTTGGGTAATCGAGCGGCATGGTATGCATAAAAGGGGGTCAAAGGAGGGGAGAGACACATAGAAACGGCAGGAGGGGAAAGGGACAGCGTGTGATGTCTCGTGTTTCTAGCTTGCTTGTTTCCCTCCTTGTTTTCCCCCAACCTTAACCACGCATATGGGAGGCAGAGAAGGGAGAGGGCGGAGGAGGAGGCGGACACAGGCACGTGCGACGTGTGGTCCGCCAAGGCGAGGCTGCAA